AACCAGCTGATCACATGCTCAAGAAGGACCATCAGCCTAACAATGGATCATTAGCACCTGATGGCTGTTTACTGTTCACAGAGGGCTGAGTGATACTAGCAATCACAGCATTGTAAGAGGGGGACAGTTGAACCAGGAGGCTCCGCCCCTGTTTAATGATGGACGGTTTCTTTTCACAAAGATGGCCTCCTTTACTCCTCTCTCAAACCATCGTTCCTCTCTGTCCAGGATGTGAACATCTTCATCCCTGAAAGAGTGACCTTTGACCTGGAGATGAGTGTAGACCGCAGAGTCCTGGCCAGATGATGTTGATCTTCTGTGCTGGTCCATCCTTTTGGCCAGTGGCTGTTTAGTTTCCCCGATGTAAGACTGATCACCTTCCTGACACTGAACAACATACACAATATTACTCTGTTTGTGCCGGGGGACTGGATCTTTGGGATGAACCAGTCTTTAATGTATTTTGGGGTTTAAAAGCCACTGGGACGTTATGTTTAGAAAATAAACGTCTCAGTTTCTCTGATACCCCCTCAACATATGGAATGACCACTGGTCTGGGTCTGGGTTCCTCCTTTTCACCTGTTGGCTGACTGGAGTCCTGTTTGGGTTTCTTCTCTGCTTTCAGGAAGGCCCAGTTAGGATATCCACATTGCTCTAGAGCCTGTCTTGTGTGGGATTTCTCCTTCTGCCTGGCTCCTGAGTTAGTGGGGATGCTGTCTGCTCTGTGGTACAGAGTCCTGATGACTCCTAACTTGTGCTCCAAAGGGTGATGGGAGTCAAACTGCAAATACTGGTCTGTGTGGGTGGGTTTGTGGTACACCTCGGTTTGCAAATGTCCTCTATCAGAGACTGAGACCTCACAGTCCAAGAAAGCCAACCTGCCATTCTTTACATCTCGTGTGAACTTGATGTATTTATCCACAGAGTTGATGTGGTCAGTAAAATGTTGGACTTCCTGAGATTTAATTTTAACCCAGGTGTCGTCAACATACCTGAACCAATGACTTGGTGGTGTCCCTGAAAAGGACGTCAAGGCTCTCTTTTCTAAGTAGGAGGAGGAGGTAGAAAACATGTGAGAAGAGGAGGTGTAAAAAATGACTGTGGCACCCAATGTCGACTGTCCCAAAATAAATCTACCATCTCAGACTGTATTTTACTAACAGGCCTGGAGGTGGGTCTAAAACAGTTGTTTAACACTAGTACTCTGCCTCTGTAGGACATAGAAGAAGAAGAAGCCTCATTGAGGCCTTGTATCTAACGACGAGCTTAACCAAATGCAACTAAATCAACAACCCCAGAATACACCTGAAACACCACGACAAAGGACAAACTGCAGATGGTAATACCTGCAAGATTTTAACGATCCAGAAACACATCTGATAAATATCTTAGCACCTTGATGGGTCTCAAATATTTGAAAATCTCACAGGAGAAGCATCCTATTTGAAATGTTCTGGTGAAGTTTTTGTATTGGACACTTTTTGTATTTGAACTGTTATGAAATAAATGCACATGTTCAAATATGACGGCACTCGTCATATCAAAGTACATCTGAAAGGAAAGTGTTTTTTCACATTAAGACACTGCTTCTCTCCAATCAGCTGATTTCAGTGTTTCCTTGTCTCTTTTTCCTCTCTCAGAGTAAGATTGCTGTCAGGAAGCGACCTCCTCCTCCTGCAAACTGCACCCCGCTGTGGGGGAGCTGCAAGGCACCGGGCAATGTGTGCTGTGACTTCTGCGCCTTCTGCCAGTGCCGGCTCTTCAAAACGGTCTGCTTCTGCCGGATGGGCAACCCCAGCTGCTGAACGGCCCGCAGCACGCCGGAGGAATTCAGTTCAACGTTCAAGGAAACGACGTGCAGTGACGTGGTGCACGGTCGTCAGCCTCAGTCTAATTTGTCCCCAAACTCAGTGTGAAAACACGATCATGGAGGACTGTGCCACGGTGATGGTCTGAACTAACGGGGACAAAGCTTTTAGCACAACTATGAGTTTATTCTGCTTTAAACTGAGCTTTTAGCGCACATGCTGTATACTACATGACTGAGCAGTTCAATATGAGACTGCAGGAACGTTTAACATTTCATCATGATGAGCATTCAAAATGTATGATGCTGGTAAAAATAAAAAGTCTTTTGGACAGCGAAGCTTGTAATTCTTCTTGTTGCCCTTTTTATCCCTCGTTGCAGAACAAAGAGGAGGGATTGGAAACATACAGTCGGTCCGTGCACATTTTGAGCATGATAGCTTGAAAAACAAGTGAGGTACCAACTTCCATTTTGGTGTGTGGCTGCAGCTGCGTGTAGGAAAGGTCAAGATCAAAAATTGGGTTGCCTGTCTGAATCCAAGATGGCTGCCATAGAAAACAAGTTATATATACAGCAGTCCCTCGCTACTTCATGGCTCGACTTTCGTGGACTCGCTCTATCACAGTTTGTCAATGTCCAGGCCATAATATTGTACACAGAGAAAAACATTGTAGACAACACAAGATGGTCAACTTTAATATTACTCACGTGATGGGGACAGTTCTGGATACGGAACTGATCATTTGAGCCGGATCCTGCCGGAACAAGAGCTCTTATTTTGACAGCTGGCGTTCCAAACCTAGAAAACTGTTTTCTAGGTTTTATTTTGCTAAAAGTATAATTTCCTTAAATGATGGGGTGGCTGAAGATCAATCTATGGTGCTCAAGGCCACCATTGACCACCCCCTGCCTCAGCCATTGAGCCTGGTGGTGGATAACATGATCCGTCCACTCGACAACATCTGTCACTTTGTGCTCCCTTGGACAAAAAACAAACAAAAAAACTAAAATGAAAAATGTAGAAACCTGCTGTTAAAACAAAAACACTTGGAAATAATATGTGACTAAGAATGTTCCAGGACTCAGTGGACAAATGAGTGTTGACAGAAGAGAACAACAGAAAAGCTAAATGGTGTCAGCTGGTTTCTTTCAGGGAGAAACGTTTCATCTTCCATCCAGAGGACTTCCTCAGTCTGCGGCCTGCCAACCAGATCTGTCCTGACCTCCTGTTGTTTGTCCTCTGGATGGGGGACAAAACGTTTCTCCCTTAAAGAAACTGGTCCAGATGAAACATTTAACCTTTTTGTTGTTTTCGACCTCCATGATTGAGCTTACAACCTTTATTGTTGTTGTTGTTGTTGTTGTTGTTGTTGTTGACAGACGAGGTTTCCTCCATCAAAACATCCACTAACCGTCACACAAATATGCAAATAAAATGTGGGCTTTCTATGTTATACAATTTTACAAAGTTTACCCTTTTAGGCATAAAACGGTTTGATAAACGTTGTAGCTTGATGCATGCGTCAAAAAAAAGGAGCTGATCAGTTTTAGAGCTCAGGACCGTGATGCAGCCGATTCATTGGTGCCTGTCGAACAGAAACCAGCACAACACCGCTGTTTGACTGGTTTGTCATGAATAACAAGTGGAAGAAATCATGACATGGTTTTAAGAGCATAAAAGAGCCAAGTGAGTTCACAAAAGACGACAATTTTAATTTACAGCTTTTTATTTGAATGTATTTACACGAGCTGTCGTTATGTCAGCGCAGCCAGAGGAGCTGGTTGATCGTACGGTAAGCACAAAATATTACAAATAAACACAAAACATTAAACATCAGCACGTACAAATATGACAGGAACAGAAAAACCACAGGACGCAAGAAATGGAGAGAATCTCACACAAAGTGTTTCATAAGAACTTTGAGGGGTCATTTTTGTGTTGAAGGTAAATTAAGCAGCATAAAGTCTTGAACAATTATTATATTGTGGGAAATAACTGCTCATAGTAAAGAAAAGAGGGTTGTAATTCGAAACTCTTCATAAGGGAACAAATAAATCGATGAACTGCCTGAAAAGTAACAGTTCTCCCACGGGGAAGAGCTGCGTCAGGAGCTCAACTTTCTTTTATCATGCTAATAATAAACGGACAAAAATAATAAAAAAATAACAGATTCATGTTTAGCTGTAGTTCTGCACGGGAAATGTTGCTCACTTTTTCAGTCTAAATTTTTATCTGGCAACATGTTTGTGTTGAGCCTTCCAGTGTAGAAGTGTTGGAGGTTCAGTAAAACTCAAACAGAACATATAAGTGGAGAGCTGAACCAAAAGGTTTTATTGATGCAAACAGCTTTTTACAAAGGTTGTAGAAAGTGATTTATAAAAACAGTACGCAACGTGCACACGCAGTTACCTGCTCACCATGAACGTACTAAACAAAATACATTTACATCGGAATAAGTCGTTGAATTGTTTGTGTTCGACTTCGATGGTGAAAAGGTGAACCTGAACGGGCACTTGTCTGATTTCTTGTCACCGTGAAAATAAAGTTGTATCTGAAGTCTCACAAAGCTCGAGGTGGATTAGCTGGTTTTTATTTTCTTGACAGCTGGAAATGATTTCAGGGAACATCACCAGAACTTCAGATCAACCATGAACTGACAGAAGAACTGCGGCGTAGAAATTCCAACTGATCGGTTATTTAGACTGAGACTGACTTTGTGGAAGTGTGACTGTAGCGGTCATAATCTGGTGGCGTTCAGAGGATGAGGAACCGGAGGTCGACACTCAGGCCCAAATCTACCGACGGACCTCAGTGTCGTAAACAAGATCCTTCTGCTGAGAGTTCAGACAATCCGTCACCAGAACAGTTTCACTTGATTTTAAAGACCAAAAACCAAAACCAGTTTCTTTTCTCAAAGGAAGACGGTGAAGAGAAAACAGGCATGTGGTGACCTGACCGGGGCAAAAACAGGCTTTTATTTCTTTACATTTCCACAGCAATTTGTGGCGGCTGTGGATGAGCGGTTAGAGCAGTCGTCCTGCAATGCAAGGGTTGCGGGTTCGAATCCACCAGCAGTCACATGCCAAGTGTCCCTGGGCAAAACACTGCAGCCCTCATTGCCACCGACGTGTCCCATCGGTGTCTGAATGTGCGTGTGAAGGTAGATGAGGGCACTGAGTGTGTTGTCAAGAGCTTTGAGTGTCTTGATCAGGTAGAAGGAGCTGTATAGGTAGAGTCCATTTAACAATTCAACAACAATAAATATCAAAAGTGGCAAACATTCAGACGAATAAAAATGTTTGTACTGACATTATCAGCAGAACCTTTCTTTTAGTTCCTTTTTAAACTGTGAAAGCTGAACTCGTTTAGCTCCTCGTGATGTTCCCTGCATGTCAAAGAACTCAAGCGTCTAAACGTGACATTTGTCAGACCCACAGCTGTCGTCCGTCTGGGTTGGTTTATTTGTGAACAATCTGAAATGAAGAAGCTTAAGCTTTGACCCCAAACGACCCATCCGGTTGTGTTTGAACGTCCTGAAGGACACGGGACGAGTGGAGGACGTCCAAACAGGCTGCTGCTTGTTCGTGTTGAGCATAACAGCAGTTTCGGCTGTTTTGACGTCTCCGTGCGCCCCACAGCAGAAGCTTGCTTCCATTTCAAGTGTTTCTGTGGCCATGAGCGTAACTCATGCGCTAATGATGAGTTCTGGCAGTCCCCCGCTGTTTTTAGTGTCTTCCTGTGGCTCGGGCCGTGTCCACTTCCGTTCTTCTGCCTGTTTTTGTGTCTTTTGTCTGTAGGCGTGTGTCTCTGCGGATCCCTGCTGCTTGACGGCCGTCCTGGCTCTTCCTCCTTCACTTGGCCTCCTCTTCAGCGGCTTCTGATTGGATCAAAACAAAGAACAGAAGGAATCAACTCATAAAAACATTTAAGCTCTGACACAGTTTAGATGTTGATGCTCATTTGAAAATCAAACCTCTAAAATCTAATTTACTGAACTCACACAGGGATTTGTACGTGAACTGGATGATAGTTTATATTTTTATTTATTGTTGGGTCGTGTTAGAGATGGTGACGTCAGAGTTAGTTCTCATGAGACCAGACTCTCATCATTTGTGGTCTGCAGAGCAGGACCAGAGGAGGTGCTGTGAACTACTCTCAGCTACTACCACACCAACACCTACAGCTTTAAATATGCTGGTGAATCTGTTGTAGATCTGTTGTAGATCAACTGGTGAGTCTGTTGTAGATCTGTTGTAGATCAACTAGTGAGTCTGTTGTAGATCTGTTGTAGATCAACTGGTGAACCTGTTGTAGATCTGTTGTAGATCAACTGGTGAGTCTGTTGTAGATCAACTGGTGAATCTGTTGTAGATCTGTTGTAGATCTGTTGTAGATCAACTGGTGAACCTGTTGTAGATCTGTTGTAGATAAACTGGTGAGTCTGTTGTAGATCAACTGGTGAATCTGTTGTAGATCTGTTGTAGATCAACTGGTGAACCTGTTGTAGATCTGTTGTAGATCAACTGGTGAGTCTGTTGTAGATCAAATGGTGAATCTGTTGTAGATCTGTTGTAGATCTGTTGTAGATCAACTG